CTTAAAAACGCCGCTTCCAAAATATCGCAAGGTCAAGGTTAAAAATTAAAAACGGTATATCCCGCATGGACATGTTGAATCGACCTCAAAAATTTTTACATACTTGCTTTATAAGTTTCTGTATTATCAGCATAGTATATATCTCAAAAAAGAAAGGTCTGTGGCGAGGTGCCATTATTATCCCTATAAAATGCAATGTGTTGCAATGTAATAGTACAAGTGAATCCAACTTTTGTTTTTAAATTTCTTTGATATTCTCCCCGCATAAGGTGGAGAGTGAATATGATATTTTAGGAAAAATTATTTTTATTCAGAATCACTTGATTCGTACTCGCTATCGTAATTAACTTCTTAACTTATATTGTTCGTCGGTTCTATAAACTGTATAATCGCAGTGAAGTAAATCAAAGTATTGCTGATTAGAGAAAAGATCGTAGATCTGTTAATCTCGAAGCATTTTGCGGCGGTAAATGAAATTGGCCTTAGTTCTAGTATTTGGCACAACTTTTTTAATTCACGATATTCTTCGGAATTCATGGGTATCGTTTCCAGGTAGTTCACACAAGTTACGAGAATTGTTTTGGATTCGTTAACTACGAGATCACAGTAGAGCAACACCATAAACAGCATACCCTGAAACGCAAAAAAAATTATAGCAACATTAGGAATATTTTTCTAAATACTGTTTTTAATAAAATACAATTCAGTTACAGTTATTATAGTCATCCTGTTTCCCCACGAACACAGTGTGATTCCCAATTATCTTAACAATTAAGTAGGTATATCTAAAAGCCAGATGAGTTTTTTTTTAATTCCTCAAGCTTCGCGAGCACAATACTGTTGAATCCGCTATGTGAGCAAAACTTTATTAAACTGTACTAAAAATGATGTGATGGTAAATGTTGGTTTTTTAGTTTAAGCCAGTTAGAAGGCTCGCTCATATTTAATGGGGAATGATTGTGTTGCAATGCTAAGACTGTTTTAATTTCATGTTTCAGAAAAGGGTCATTTTTTCTACATAAAAACCTGCTTTTGGCCAATGTCAACATTTCAAGTTGATTGTTATAAGGGGTGTTTTTTTTCGATGTATAGAACTTTAAGTTGCAATGAAACAGCGATGGATTATTCGATTGACATGAATTTTATTTATCCGGCATTATATTTTAAATATGATTTCAGGCATATGACCGCCACGGCTGCCGCGGATGTATTCCAATCTGGACGTCCAATTTTCGATGACTTTTTCCAACATTTGTGGCCGTATATCGGCAATAACACGGCGAATGTTGTCTTCCAAATGGTCAAGCGTTTGTGGCTTATCCGCATAGACCAATGACTTTACATAGCCCCACAGAAAGTAGTCTAGCGGTGTTAAATCACAAGATCTTGGAGGCCAATTCACAGGTCCAAAACGTGAAATTAGGCGGTCACCAAACGTGTCTTTCAATAAATCGATTATGGCACGAGCTGTGTGACATGTTGCGCCGTCTTGTTGAAACCACATCTCCTGGACATCATGGTTATTAAATTCAGGAATGAAAGAGTTAGTAATCATAGCTCTATACTGATCACCATTGACTGTAACGTTCTGACCATCATCGTTTTTGAAGAAGTGCGGACCAATGATTCCACCAGCCCATAAAGCGCACCAAACAGTCATATAACGGTGTTTCGACATATACTTGACGATTAGCTTCGCTCCAAATGCGGCAGTTTTGTTTGTTGACGTAGCCATTCAACCAGAAGTGCGCTTCATCGCTAAACAAAATTCGCTTATGAAAATCGGGAACCAACGGCAATCTCGTTTTGGGCCCATTCGACGAATCTACGCCTTACTTGATGATCGTTTGGCTTCAATTCTTGTACGAGTTGGATTTTGTAAGCACGTAAACCAAGATCCTTCCGCAAAATCTTCCATAAAGTGGATGGACACAGATCCAATTCCTGTGCTCGATGGCGGATGGACTCATTCGGGTCTTCCTCAATGCTACGCTCTACAGCAGCAACAGCTTCTTCTGTACGCACCGTACGGCGTCTCTGGGGATGCGAGTTATCAAAGTGGTGCGAAAACGTTCCATGGTTAATCGAATTAACTGCTCTGATAGACGATTTTGTCGACGATAAAATGGACGTAGTGCGCGATACGTATTCCGCAGAGAACCATTATTTTCGAAATAAAATTGCACTATTTGCAAGCGTTGTTCAGGCGTGAGTCTTGAACAGTAATGCCAACTTAAAGTTCTATACATCGAAAATAATAACCCTGTATATTCATCACATATTATTACATTCTGCTAGATAAATACTAATGTTGCCAATAGCAAACAGTCACACTAGTTAAGAATGATTGTTATTTTCTAACGGATGGCCCACAGTGGTTGGTCTATTAGAAGTATCTGGCGAACTATCTAACGCATTTATTTTTTAAATTATATAGAGAGATGTAAGAAGAGGTGCTTTATCGCTTTTAAATATTTTAAAGTATGCAGAGTTGTCGCTTTTATATAAACATATTAGATAATACTCAAGAAATAGAATCTTTTAGGTTTCTCTATACCCATGTCCTACCGTTAGCGAAATAAAAAATAATTTTCTAGATTTTTAAGCAATTTGGAATTCTAGAGGAGAGACTAACCCAACTTGACTAAAATCTACTTTGTTGAGTAGAATCTCAAAATGAAATATTATATAGGGGATGCCATTTAAATTCAGCAAGATATAGAAACGGCAACACTGCATACTTGCAAATATTTTAGAGTGATAGAGCATCGCCTCTTACATCACCATGTATAATTTAAAGTACCAACGGATTTACTGTTCTGTTCTCTTTTAAATATACTACTTGTTGCTAGAGTAAGGCGGGATGTCCTCTTAATATTAATGACTTCATTTGACAAAACTTAATTACGTATGTAACATCCCCAATCCATTAGTTAACAGAAACCATAAAAGAAACACAAAAATTAATGTTAGAGACAACGACAAATCTCGTTGTCGTTATTTGCTGAAAATATGTCTGTTTTTGACTTGGCTTTCGATTTGCACTTCATTTATTGTTGTATTTAGAAAAAAAAGGATTTGGTACGTTATTATACTTGACCGGGAGATGCGATTCTCTAATTTCTATATTGGGCGTCCCATTAAAAAAAATAACCAAAATTAAATAACCGTATAAGACAAAGGTTTCTTGAAATACTATCCTGCCAACGCACGTGTACCTAAATTAACTACTCACCAACACCGAACATAAGTAGATAATTGTTGAAATAATCTCTATAGAGAGATCTAGATATACTGAGATGCAGGCATTTAATACGTCCGAACTGACGAAAAACGACATAATCAAAACCTGTTTGCCAAACAATTCGTTAAACATGTCCACCAAACTAGAAAGTGACACGATCATAATTTTAGCCATCCTAATCTTTTTAATGTTAGCCCTTTCGTTGGCGATATTTAAAGTGAGCAATGCTTGATTAACTTTCGAGTATTTGTATCGCATATTCATTGTTAAATTCCAAAGTACAAACGATGTTAAAAGGTAGTAGTAAAACCCGACCAACTCTGCGAAAAATGTGGAATATATTTCTATACCAATCTTGGTGCCGTATGTAAATATATCGCACGCCAAAAACGCTATAATATATAGATGAAGTATTACGAAGTGGACGACGGCTTTTGAATAAAATCTTCCCCTTTCACATTCTACGCAGTTTATCGACAAACGTTCTTCGACATGAATTATTTGCCGTAGGAAATGTTCCCACAACTGCTTTTTCCTATATATGTCACTCGTGGCACAAATCAAGCCCGCACATCCAGTGATATAGGTTATTAATAAAAGTATGTTTGTTATAAAAGGGTCATTAAAAGAAAATTTTGTCCAGGTTGAAGATATCGTCAGTAGGATATCGACCAAGATTAGAATCGTAGCAGATGTTAAACATAGTTTCGAACTGATCACTTGGTTTTTATCCCAGTCGTAATTGGGAACGATTCCCAAAAATCTCAAATATTTGGTTAGCGGACTAAGATCTTTTAAACACGTTTTATGGTGCATGACGCTTGTACAGTTGTGTAACGGCAACCACACTGAGTAGGTAAGTAAACAATTTAATGGTTGAATTGCATCACTACCGGAATTCTAACTAATTATTAATCAATATTTTTGTCACGAAGAAGAGCCACATGTCACACAGAACGGCTTCACCTGGGTAATTTTTTGTATATCCATAAATCTGGAGCATAAATTGGAATTTGCCAATGATATTCACTTTTTTAATATCAAAAATAAAAATAAAAGTATTCTTTATAATGCAATTAATCCATATTAGAATACAAGGCATTAATAGCTCAAAAACGGTAAGAAATAGAGAAAATCTTTTAACCAAAGTTGCAAGCATGATATAAATCTATCGAAAATAATTTTAGGTATACCCTGTATTTTTTTTTAATATTTAGTATCTTATGTGCCGAAGAGATTTACAGTAGAGCTACGCTTTTTAAATTCTGCTTCAGCGTTGCCACGAAATTATTTTTTTCTGGTTCTAAAATTAGAAATATTAGCTATTTGTTTGCACGTACCGAAATCAATTTTATGGTGCTGAAATAAAGCAGATGTTATTTGTCTATTTCTTGTGGCTAATCGATATTCCTCGAGCCTGGCTGAAATCCTTCTGTTGGTTTGTCCCCACGATTCCAGTCGGAGTTCAACAAACTAAGGGATGATGAGCATATATAACAATAACATAAAACTCTTATAAAGTAATCAATTTTATTTTTTAGGACTATGGACATACAGATATACAGGACCAAGCGAAATATCATACAAAACCTTTATTGCCGTTTAATTTCACGTTATCTTATTTGTCAGTTTATCAGGTTACGAGTTTGGAATGTCAATATTGAATGAGGTAAAGTCTATACAGTTTATCACACAAAAAAAAAAACTCAAAAATATTGATTAATTGTCTTAAAAAACATAACTTTATGTGGTTCCATTTTTTCGAGCACCATTATTTTTGTATTATTCCAACCATAAATGTTTTACGTTTAGCATTTTTTGATAGCTCTTTAGAAAAATTCCTGTGTACACTAGCACTTCTACGTTTTGCTTGATTCATAACCTGTTTCCTCAGCACCCTAAGATGGTATACAAGCACATAACATAACCGTAAATAACATAAACGTAAATATATTAATAGTTTAGTCTTATTACAAATTCTACCGAAATATTTACTAATACATTCTTCATTAGTTTTCTTCACAATGACTTGTCGTCGGCTTCTTCCTTTATCTAGTTCGTTGGTTCTATAAATTGTATAATTGCAGTAAAATAGATCAAAGTCTGGCTCATTAGCGAGAAGACCGTGGACCTGTTAATTTCGAAGCATTTTGCGGCGGTAAATGATATTGGCCTCAGTTCGAGTATTTCGCACAGCTTTTTTAATTCACAGTATTCTTCGGAACTCACGGGAATCGTTTCCTGATAGTTTACACAAGTTACGAGAATTTTTTTTGATTCGTTAACTACGAGATCGCAGCAAAGCATCACCATAAAAAGCATAACCTGAAATGTCAAAAATGTTTATAACTATAAAAACGATTTTTGGATTTTACTGAAACTTGCCGTCTTGGACATATTTTAGCAATATACTAGAAATATGTATTATTTATAAAAATAACGTAGTTTCGTAACATATATCTAAAACTTCCACAAGCTACTGTAATAATATAATATTTACAAAGCTAGTTGTTGGTGAATCGAAGTTGCTGACGTTCCAGTGCTTACCTCCATATATTTTGTTTGAAGAGAGCGGAGCTAAAGGAGGGGCCTAAATGATAATGTTGCCAAAAGTAATTTACTCAGTAATCAAAAATAACATACTTGTTCGAATATTCCCTTATTGTTTTATATAAATCAATTTGATTCTGTGGAATATTATACATACTTGAAAAGAAGATTTGATTATTCTTATACCGAGTGTACTATAAAAACAACTCACGACCCAATAAAAAAAATCTCGAAATACTCCCCTGCCAACGCATGGATGCTTAAATTGACTACTCACCAACACCGAGCATAAGTAGATAATCGTTGAACTAATCTCTAAAGAGAGATCAAGATATACTGAAATGCAGGCATTTAATACGTCCGAACTGACAAACAACGACATCATCAAAACCTGTTTGCCAAACAATTCGTTAAACGTATCCACCAAAGTAGCAAGTGACATGACCACAATTTTAGATATCCTAATCTTCTTCACATTATCCCTTTCGTTAGTGATATTTAAAGTGAGCAATGCTTGATTCACTTTCGAATATTTGTATCGAATATTCAATGTTAAATTCCAAATGAGAAACCATATTAGAAGGTAGTAGTAATACCCGAGCAACTCTGGGAAAAATGTCGAATATTTTTCAATACCAATGTTGATTCCGTAAGTAAATATATCGAATGCCAAATACCATATAACATATATATGCAGCATTACAAATTGGATGACAGGTTTTGAATAAAATCTTCCCCTTTCACATTCTACGCAGTTGATTGACAAACGTTCTTCGACATGAACTATTTGCCGCAGGAAATGTTCCCACAACTGCTTTTTCCTGTATATGTCACTCATGGCACAGATCCAACCCACACACCCACTGATATCTGTGATTAATAAAAGTATGTTTGATATGAAAGGGTCGTCGATAGAAAATTTTATCCAGGTTGAAGATATCGTCAGTGCGATGTGGATCAACACTAGAACCGTAGCAGATGCTAAACATAGTTTCGAACTTATCACATCGTTTTTATTCCAGTCGTAGTTGGGAACGATTCCCAAAAATCTTAAATATTTGGCGAGTGGACTAAGAAATTTTACACACGTTTTGTTGTGCATGAGGTTTTATGGGCTCAGCAAATTCAACTGTAATAAGTAGCTAAGTAATCAAATTGGTGATGCAATTAACTAAATTGCATCACTATCGGCATTCTAATTAAACGTTAATCAATATTTTCATTACGAAAAAGAGCCATCGATTCAGAATTTAATGCGCGTACAAAATACTTGTTGTCGCCTCATTTTTGAACTAACAATGTTATTACAGAATGTCTCATAAAGTTAATGAACTCCACTGTTTAAACACATCGCATATTGACCTTCGCATGGATAATTCAGTGCTATAACGATTCCTATTCTCTAAGCGGCAAGAGTTTATGTTGGAAGTATATTTCGATTAGTGTGGTTTCGATAGAGTGGAGTAAGGATAGCCACCGGACAGATATCGTCCTGGGGCTAGCATATACGAGGACTAATTTTTATATTTATTATATATTTAGATTTCCAGAATAAATATGACTTTATTGTTTCTCAAAATATTCACCCCGATGTTACACTTTTGCATTCGATAAAACTAATCATAAAAGCACTTTTTCCACATCGATTCGGGCACCTCCAAAACATGCTTTTTAAACGCATCTGGTGTTAAAAATCGTTGCCCACGTAATTTATTCTTAATGTATGAGAATAAAAAAAAATCATTAGGTGCTAAATCAGGACTATATGGTGGATGGCTCATCAAATCCACGTTTTTAATGCTCAAAATGGAGTTTGTTTGCATTGTCGTCGTGGTTGGTTTTTCTAATTTCTTCGAAGACTTTCGGCAAGCAAATGGTTTTGTTTTGTCAGAATTGACTGTTTTACCTTTCACCAAAGAAACACTTGCAACGTGGAGAGTTTTCCTGAAAAAACAGGCTACCATTTGTTTCGAGGTGCTTCGCACACGAACAAATTTTGTGCACTTGGTCTCATTCTGAAAGATCCACACAGTCGACTGCTGCTTACTTTCAGGTTCATATGCATAGATCCATGATTCATCACCTGTCACGATATCATAGACCTGTAGACGTGATCGTATTTTTTTATCATTTCCTTCGACCAATCAACACGAGTCTTTTTTTGGGCTGATGTTAAATGTATGGAATCCAACGCGAACATTTTTTTAACGGCCAAATGTTCATGCAAAATTGTATGTTTGCTGATCCCACTAATGTTCAAAGATATCTCAACCTCATGGTAAGTCACATGAGGATCGTGCAAAATCAATTTCCGCACTGCATCCATGTTTTCTCGGACAACCATCGATTTTAGACGACCTTCACGAAATTCATCCTTAAGAAAACTACGACTAGCGATAAACAGTAGTCCTAGATGGTGCTTTACGTCACAGTTTTTTTAATTTATCATAAAAAATAAAAACAACACTCTTTCCCCAAAACCTGAGTAAACCTAACCCCAAAATGTCAAACTTCGCTATAAAAACGTTGGTCGCCAGATGGCAGGACTAGTTTAAGAAAATCCCGAAATATCAAAGGCTATTACTATTACGTAATTGTATTTTTAAAATGATATGCTTCGTGTATTCTTTTTATTTCGAAAGAAAAGTGAATTGGTGGATATGATATCGATCGTCGGTTTAATAGGATTATAGTATATAGTATAGGTTTATTGTAGCAGGACTTCAATAGCCTCTAATGCTGTAGTTTGCTGGTTTACTTCGTTTTGAAGGTACATGTTTTTAAGATAAACATCGTTTTTAATTCACATTTTCGAAACCAAGCAACCAAACAAATCTTTAGAAACACAATCTTCAAATTCTACATTAACCCTTAGCATATATAGGCATAATCATCTTAAATATTGTTTTTTTTTAATAAATCGTCCCTTCTCATGTCTCATGATATTTGTTGCAATATCTGTCTACACTGGCCGAACGTTAATTTCATCTGTAAGAGAATAAGATATATCTCTCTAAAAACTAAAACTACAAGTATATTAAGAAACCTGCCTGTACTTTCATGTGCTTATAACATTTAATGGATGACCACATAAAACTGTCAAACCGAAAATATTTATTCCTTCTCAATATCTCTTCATAGTAAAAATCTCTAAAACTCTCATATTCCGGAGAACTAGCACAAATAAAAGCCCATTATAGGAATTCGATTCCGGGCAGTACATCAGAAAATAAATATTCTAAAAATCTAATTACCTTCTTCGCTGCTGAAGATTTGCACCTAAACCTAAAAACTGATTTAAATGCGTCTTTCCGAAAATACTGGAATGGCAATATATATATATATATATATATATATATATATATATATATATATATATATATATATATATATATATATATATATATATATATATATATATATATATATATATATATATATATATATATATATATATATATATATATATATATATATATATATATATATATATATATATATATACGTGACTGGTTCGGGTGCACCACAAACCAACTATTTCGGTCGGCTGTGTCACGAATACGAATAGCACTGATGATTGCCAACCTTCGCAACGAAGACGGCACTTAAAGAAGAAGAAGACCAGTTTTTTTTTCCCTTTAATTTAATTCATCGAATCAAAAAATTAATAACTAGTAGACGTAGTTATTGGCTTTTTATTCATATGTCATTGCAAGTAGTTGATTAAGATGTTTCTCTACGACGCAACCGTGCGCCGTGGGGATAGCAATCGACGTTCCTAATGTAAGATAAAACATTATTTAAATTGATAAGCTTTTTGTTGTACCGGCATCAGAGGCGTCGAATACATTGATATATCATTCTGGTTGCGCCACTTTTGTGTTAGATGACAAACTTAACCAGAAAACTAATAGCTTCAATTATATGCCTAGAAAATGTCATCATTCGAAATTTCGTTTCTTTATTTTATATATTTTGCAAAAAGTTTTGTAAATTATTGTTTGGAATGATTTCTCAGGTTATACCTGGGATACAGAGGGCTTTAATTTGACCATAGTTAAATATTGCTATTTTTTTAACTATAGTGGAAATAGATTGCAATGTCCGCTTTTCGACTTAAGATTGCGCTGTTGTCAATCGTTCCAAACTTGCTTCCTTTCGTGGGTTTCTTGAGTTTTGGTAATAGGAAAAGTCGCAGGGGGCCATATCCGGTGAATATGGTGGCTGAGGCATGATTGTGGTTTTGTTTTTGGTCAAAAAGTTAGACACAAGCACCAATGAGTGAGCAGGTGCATTATCGTGATGCAAAATCCATGAATTATTCTCTAACAATGTTTTCTTCGTATTGCTTCCTTGCAAACTGCGCATAACTTCAGCTCTTTATTTACCATATGACCTTGTGATAACAACTCTTGATCTATTACGCCACGATGATCAAAGAAAACAGTAAGCAAATCCTTGACATTTGATCGAATATACGTAGCCCGCCCAATTATAAAACTCATCTTACTTTTTGAACACACCTCGTATTATAGCTTTAAAAAAGTCACATCGTTGCAGATATAATTTTTTAAAAATGCCAGTCAGTAAAAAAATAAGTGATTTTTGAACATCTTTGAATAAATTACTAAACTAAAATATGCGAATAGATAATTTTATTTTGGAACTGCCGATTAACTGATATTTTGTCATAATACGTGAGTTTTTCGGTACGATCAAGTATTTTTATTGTTGGTTTTTAAACTTTCTTCGTTTATTGTTTGTACATAATTTTCTAAATCCAAATAAACCAGATATTGATTAATGTTCGGGTTTCCTCTGACACCGTATTTAGGATATTTGTAAAAATGTTGAAAAATATTCTTAATAATTAATTAGTTTATTTCTATTAACTCACGTGCAGAAACCTACTATGCTATAAAATAGTCTTTAATATTCCAGATTTTTGAAGTAACCTAACTTAAATCATTTGACAAAAAAAAGTGTTCTTATATGAGGAAAGCCAATACAGCAGTCCAACTCAATGAAATTTCAGGACAGTCATTTCGCTAAAGTCCAAATTTATTTTGCTTCTCTGGATCCTACATCAATTTATTCCCGTTTCACCTTATATTTATTCTTTTAACAGCACAAAGCGGTTTTCTTACTGCAGTGCGGAGCGAAATATTTTTCATTTTCGTACAAAGTGGAAAATTAAGCACAGCATTATTTTTCAGATTGAATCCGGCAATACAATTTTGAAGAAAATCGATGTCTCGTACCGTTTCCATTATTATGGTGTGAGTGGAAACTTTATTGCCCAGCAACCTGCATATTTGTATTTCTATAAATTTTTTCAGTTCTTTGGAAAATAACAGTTTAACATGTAATATTAGTTACAAAGCTTCTTATTATTATTCCTGCGTTTTTGCTGACGTTTCGCCGATCAGCTTCTTCAGAGCTTAACTGCTTTCCATATT